AAAATATATTACCATTTACAATTTTTCATACAAGCACACACGCAACATTGAAATAACAACAACCAGTGTATAACAACACTCAGCATTATGACCCACTCATCCTTTCTGGTTGAGTTCCTGAGTTACTTTAAATATATATTTAATGGTCCAATGAGGGATCACCCAAACATAAACATGTGTATTGGTTGTTAAGAATCTTATATCTCCTGTTGTGGGTTGCAGCTGATACAAATCATAAACAGCATTTTAGCAAAAGTATTAACGTCTTTAAACATCCATAGACAGGACTGTGGGAGTTGAAATACTGGTATATTGAATACCCAAAGAAAACTATCAATACCCAATGTGAAAAATATCCTTGTGAATACTTAGTGGCTTAATATATAATCTGTAGCCCTGTGTTGTGAGGTGGGATTATTTAGGAGGACTCGTCTCTATGTCAGTGTGTGCATTCACTTTATCCACTGAATTATCAGGATTAAACCAACTCGTTTCTCATACTTCCATTGATACATTAGGGGCGTGCTCATTGAAGTTATCAAATGAGTGGGCCTTTTGCTGATTTATGTATTTTTGTAGGATATAAGGATACATATATATTTTCCAATGCACCGAAAAAAAAATTCATTTCACTCATTATCACATACTGCTATGGACTGTTGATTGTCTTCTTGATGAATAATGTTTCATATATATCATAGATGCATTGAATAATATGTCATTCACGTCAACAATAAACTTTCTTTTCAATTACTGTCAGTGGTCAGCCCTGACCTTTTCAAAGATGATTTGATCATCTTTGTGCCTGGGCTCACTTGTGTACAGTATCCTATCTGAAGCCAGTGATTTCATGTTTACTGAAATGTTTGGTCCAAACTTTATGTAGATGGATGAAAAAAATCCCCTTTCATTATGTTACTGTTGATGAAGAAATTCAAATTAAGTTCTACTGTTGCATGTTGGGCTGAGTTTTAGTGGTTGATATTTTTAGCATTTGTCGCTAGGTTCTCCATATTTCATCATCCTTGTATGCCCATAAGTGATGACAGACTGATGAACATCATCAAGCTTTACAAGGTTGACTATGAACAACTTGAATCCTATTATTGCTTGGAGTATGACTGTCTATTACAAAGTCTAGTCCCCTTTGAATTTGATAGTATACTGTATATCTAACATGTTATAAGCATGCAATATTTTGTGATCTAAAAGTTGACTATATTTGTGACAATGCATCCTACTTATTTTGTATTGCAAATGTTAATGATTTCATAGCCTTTGTTCACTGTTATATTTCATATTTCTCTACTCTGACACAGGCTGACATAGCATAGATATAGATCATGGAATATACTGTACTTACTACATTAGATGCTATGTTTCCAATACGCTCTAACTGACACTCTATCAATGAAAAATAGAACCCAAGTCTCTAGTTGAGGTAAACTGTGTGCACGAAATCACTAGACGCCCTGGCGTCTTATAAAGGAAATACACACAATTACTGAAGTTTGATCTTAAAATTGATTGCAAGAAATAGCTAATGTCAACAATGTGACAACCAGTTTTTCAATCTTCCTCTGGTTATATGTTTAACAGCAAAACATTTGGTTTGTTATCATTGTAATAACTATGATTTTATGTGTACATTTATCTTATTTCATGTTTGCATAAAGAAATGTACAAGCACCCCTATTTTTGCTGTCATGTAAGAACAAATATTTTTCCATTTTGTTTACTCAGAGTTAAACAGACTGATGAGATGTGTACATATGACCAGTTGACAATCCTAATATTTTGTAACTAGTTTGTTTAAAAGAGTGAGTTGTGGTACACATGATAAATATTTGTTAACTATGTCTTTAAGAGTTATGTATAGTTTTACAAAGTGTCAGCATATTTTGTGATGTCTCAATAAAACGTGTTAGCAAATACATTTTTGTGTTTTCGACCCTGAATGAAGAAAGCATTATGAATGATTTGTTTTATGTCACAACAACCAATACTGTATCAGCAACGTCATGACAGACAATACAAATCAGACAATTGGTTGATTTGAGCAAGGTTGCACAGTATTATTGTATTATTCATATATTTATCTACACATTCTCTGATGTTTATATTCAAGTCTGGAACAAATTTCCTGAAAAATTCCCAAATTTGGACAAAAGATGTCCTGCAGATGAGACATGCTTAGACATTATTTCATCAATTCAGTTTCAGCATACCAGCCACAAGACTTCAGTGTTCATTGTTCATGTAGAATTTGATTCAATTTAACATCATTGTTATATGGTGACAAGCATCAATCAAATCAGAGAATCTGACCACCTGATCCAATATTCTGCCAGGAACAGGCTTCACTGGTTATTTGTTTGCTTAACCCAGCACACAGAAGTTTTCCAGCTACAGTCAAATCCTCGATGAATCGAATGCGGTGTCTCGAATATTATGCATAACTCAAGTACCTGTCGGTCCCGACCATTCCCTGTTATAATTGTCATCATTTGAATACCGGTTACACGAATTCGTCTCATAAATACACATGATGACTCGAAGGAAATTTGGTCCCATGAGATTCAAACAACAGCAATCTTGTATACATAAGCCGAAGTCAATCAATGAGAAGTTGATTGGTGTAGCAAACTGATCCAATTAACAAACCAGCTGCTCACACCTTTCCGCCATTGACGAAAAGTGAGTTCAAAGGCAGATTAGTTTTTTTACTGAAATCACTGTCTGTGCTAATCAGACTGGAACTGATAAGGTGTCCCTATTAGTGATATGGAAATCATTAGATAAACAAATGCTTAGGGCGGAGGAATTAGGACTGGATCATAATTTTTTCTACCCTCATAGACATACCTATGTCTCGAATACATCGATAAGTCGAATTTATTACTTAGTCCCCAGCGATTCGACTCATCGGGATTTGACTGTATATGGTGGCAGTCTGTAAATGATCGAGTCAGATCAGATACTCAAGTGATTGACATCATGAGCATCAATCACAGCAACTGGGTATGATGGCGTGTCAGCCAAGTCAGCAAGCCTGACCACCCAATCCCATTAGTAGCCTCTTCACGACAAGCATGGGTTGCTGAAGGCCAATTCTAACCTGGATCTTCACAGGTTTCATTATCTCCAAAATCAAAAGACGTAATATCATTGTAACACTGTAATTGGGACAAGATGACATGCAACAACCAAGCCCAGCAGACCTGACAATTCTATTGTGTTAGTTGACTCTTACGACTACAAAGCATGGGTTTCTGAAGACCATTTCTAACTTTCGGATCTTAACTGGCTTCACTTGTACCACTGTGGAGTCAACATTTGGCAAATCAAGGACAAAATTACCTACTAGGCTGTCATATCAACTTCATAAAACATCCACTTTTCAGGCCAGGTGTTTAGTATGACAGTATGAATTTCCATTATTTTAAAAATAAAAAATCAGTAGTTTTTTAGTTCGTTTAAGAAAACTCATGCTTCTGATGGATCAACCCTTGAAAAACCAGATGTCAGTCTATCCAGTCTGTTTTAGCCTACCATCAGTATAATATTTATTAAAATGAGCAAAGGAAAATATACTTATATATAAAATGCTTCAAGACAGAATGATGATACTTTTATGGATATACAACTTCTTTATTCTGTGATGTTTCGACATAGATTCTTATGTAGTTGTCAAGAGAGGCAACCATAATCTAGAGAGAATGTTTACGACATAATTCAAGAAGTTGTATATCCATAAATAGTATCATCATTCTTCATCATCTCAACTTCTAAAATGCCCATCAAACAAGTCATACTTCAACATAAGTCAGTCAAACCAGTGATTGAAAGAATAAGAAGCATGAAATCTCACAAGTGGATGATGACAAGCTATCCCTCACTGTGCCTTGACTAACACTTAGCAAGCTTAATCACAGAAATACAATTATATAAAATATATTTGCAAAATAGAAAGTAGAATCTAAATGCATCCTCGATAATCTCCAAGGTACAGTTCGAGAAAGTACTCCTCTAAAGATCTCCACTAAGTACCCAGGATGCATCTACAGCTCGGTTCGATAATTGTATTACCTCCTTTGCTGGCTCGCTGTCTCACAGTAGCCAATCAGATACACTGTTACAACCGGGCTAGTCAGTGTCAACAAAGATGGTGGCTGCAGCAGCGAAGGAAGGCTTTTGTTATTGTGCGACTCAGATTTAGGGAGAAAATCATTCAGACAAATTGACAGGGTCTGAAACCTTAACAAATATATGCAGGAACTCTTCTAGCTCTTTCAGGATACCTCTGCAACAATTGTGTTGCTTAAGTTTTAGTGGTTAGATAAAAGAGTGAAAGTGAGTTATTGTGATTGGTGATTGGTACACTTCCCAGTAGACACCTGATTGGCTAAAAAGCCAGCAAAGGGAGTTAATACATATATCGGTCCAAGGCGTAGATCTATCCAGGGTACTTGTGGAGATTTAACAGAACATATACCCTGAGAGTATCAAGGATGATCGAAATTGAGTTGAGAATTATTTTTAATATTCCAGAGCTGAATCAATCTAGACTTGCCAAACCATTCTAAACTTGTGTCAGATTTGTTGTTTTAGTGTATTCTCCTGGCTCTTGGAGACAGGATACACAGAACCCTATTAACCAATACAGTTTAGTTTACAAACTACTGGAGACTTCATCGATACTGTCCACTTCTACGATACTGCCACCACAGAGCTAAAGCTACTCACAGATGTGGAAATAATTCAAAACTTAGTAGGAATCATTTTGGATTTGATCGATTTTATCCTTTGTCATGAACTGGTCTGATCCAGTTGATCAAGCGTCCAGTAAAATTGGATACAACAAATAACTACAGACCAAAGTTTCTTTGAATATTTTGAAAGAAAACATGAATGTTTTCACAACTGCATATGAAGACATAACCAAGGATTGATCACCTGCCTTGTATTAAGATAACTTCAATATTGTAGGGTGTACTCACATATTTTCCAAAGAATGATCTGTTGTCTCCCTTGTTGACCTTTGGCCTTCTCTGCCTCTTCCTTTTCATTTTTCTCAATGTATGTCTGTGTGTCTGGACTGAAGTGAAAAAAATGATTCTCCATTCAAGTATCCATTTTAAATGATGGGATTCATAGCAGCATTTAAAATTATGAATAAAAGGTTTTTTATATTGTTTGAATGTATTGAGACCATCAATATCAAATATATCTAATATTAGGCTTACGAACAAAAGGACCCTTTAAATTTTAGGCTTAATTTTTAAACACAGGGTGGCATTCATGAAGTGAGTGAGTGAGTGAGTGAGTGAGAAAATTGGGTTCAGCTAAGGTCTAAATAAACAGTACTTCAGACGTGAACTGCGGGCATGGGTATATAGAGACATAACTGGGGCCAACAGGGATTTCTTTTAACCCTACGTTACAAACACACTGAAACAGGATGAGGAGTGAGTGAGTAAGTTTAAGTTTTATCGCACTCAGAAATATTCCAGCTATATGGCGGTCTGTAAATAATCGAGTCTGGACCAGACAATCCAGTGATCAACAGCATGAGCATCGATCTGCGCAATTGGAAACCGATGACATGTGTCAACCAAGCCAGCGAGCCTGACCACCCGATCCCGTTAGGCGCCTCTTATGACAAACATGGGTTACTGAAGATCAATATTCTAACCCGGACCATCACGGGTCCTGAAACTGGATGAATCATTCAGCAGTATTGAGATATGACATTCCTATGAACAGTATTCCTGTTCTATACCAGCAATCCCCAACTTACTGAAGGAGGAAAGCCCAAAAGAACACAGGTTGTAGAAGTGGGATTACTTATGAAAACTGTGAGGATGATATTGAGCTCAACCCTTTTTATTAGCCACCAAATCTCCCACATAAGCAATTGAAATTTTTACAAGCAGTTTTGTTCCTTACTTTATTATGGAGGAAAGCCCATTATTCCACTTTAGATCTGGCTACTAAAAGACAATTGGCCTAAAAGGTCTTACACTTTGGCTCCAAAAAAGGCTGGAAGGGGATAAAACTTCATTAAAATAAACCATGGGTAGGAATCAGCTTTAACCTGAATGTGGGATCTTAACTTATGTGATGTGGTAAAGAAGCGAGTACAGGCATTGGGGGCCAGGAACCAGTTGTCGATTAATGACCAGAATCGTCAGGGATCAGACAGAATTTCAACAACAAAATTCCTTTCATTCTGAGGCTTCATCCCTCATTTTGAAAGCAGTGTCACCACATGAACTTGTAAATACCTTCTACACACCATTCAAACATGAAACCTTGCCCCTTTTGGGGACCCTGTTCAATTTGTTCTTTAGTTGTGCACTTTCAACAGAAGGCATTGATCATTGGAAGGGAGATAACTTTTCAGTTATTGACAATAGAGAGATAACCATTCACAAAGTTCTTCAGTCAGCTGTTTTTCAAAGCACAAAACTATTTCCATAATGATGGAAAATACATTGGGTTTCCTTTTTAAGCAAATTCAAAAACAGGGAAAAGACAGTTTCTTTTACATTACATTTGTCTTTATAACAAGGTTACCTACAGCATGTGAGAGTAAAATTCTGCTTTCTTGTGAAGGAACAGGCTGTTTCTTCTAGCAGTGAAGTGCAGCAAATCTAAGTGTCATAAATATATAAACTTTGTATGCAAAGAGCTACTTGAGATAAATATGAAATAAGGTTGATCGTACACACTACATCAAAAGAATGATGTCTTGGCTGACAAATACTACTTACACAGGTCCAGAAACTGTCAGAACTGCCTCCACAGATGTCTTCCAGTTGGTCAAGTTGGATGCAGGAACATCGGCACCAACACATAAGCCAGGAATAGCAGTCAGTGAGATACCAAGAACCTCTCCAGATTGGTCAAAGTTCACCATCATCTGGTCACTCAGTCCAGACTCATATATTGCACACTACAACAGAAGAAAAGTAATTACAAATTACAAGGACATGAGTGAGAGGTGAGTGAGTGAGTGAGTGAGTGAGTGAGTGAGTGAGTGAGTGAGTGAGTGAGTGAGTGAGAGTGAGAGAGAGAGAGAGAGAGAGAGAGAGAGAGAGAGAGAGAGGTTTACACAGGTCATAAATATGTTAAACTTATCATGTGACAGGGGACATCTGTTATCAAATGAGTTTTCATTGTGTATAATTCTAGATTTTCTGTCCCGTTCATTGCTATGAACCTAACCATTGGTTCAGTAAACCTATCTGCTACAGGTAACGTAACTGCAAATAAGCGTAGCAAGAAAACGTGAAAATATGGATCATATTGGGGAGGTGGGAGGGACTTGTGATACATGCATTACTAGAATCATACACAATGGAAACCAGTGTTACATAATATCGTGATAACAATCTAGACGACAAGTTGTTTTTATTCCTGTATCTAGTTATTTTAAATAACTACCAGTCTGAAATGACCAATGTTGTCTGCTCCTGACATTACTAATGTGAAATAATATTTATCTGAAATATTTTCTTGATTCTGGTGACACTTACAGCTCGTGTGAAAGTTGATATATACACTTCATTCTGGGTCTGTTGATCATCCTGCGATGTCACGGGGATTCTTACACGGTAGATGCCATTGCTTTGTGCCAGATTCTGGAAATAGAAGACAACATCAGTTTGTGATATTCCATTAACAGAATAATTAATGGTAGTGAACAAAAGTCACTGAATAGGCCTAGGTATTATACTTCAACCTTTTTTTATCTGAATCGAAAATAACAAATCAATAAATCTTTTTAAGGAATGTTTCCTCGTAAACCTTCTTTGGATAAGCAAGGATTGTCTGATGACATGGTGAGATAGGGGCCAGCTGTGAACTGTATGAACATCTGGACTCAATAGCATGTACATTTTCTATGGACATTGCAAATTTGCAGTTATAAAAAATGCATATTCTCCTTGAATCAGGGCGGATACAGCTTTTTGAGAAAGATGTGTGTGTGTGTGTGTGTGTGTGTGTGTGTGTGTGTGTGTGTGTGTGTGTGTGTGTGTGTGTGTGTGTGTGTGTGTGTGTGTGTGTGTGTGTGTGTGTGAACTGTGTGTGTGTGTGTGTGTGTTGCACACTATTGAGAAAAGGAGGGGTGCACATTTCATTTTCACCAGAGTTTCAATGGTCATTTAACAAACTTTCAGCAGCAAAGAGGGGTGGGGGGTACGCAACCCTGCACCCCCCCTCTGGATCCGCCTATGGAATCTATTCAGTATGTCCAATGTAGTCAAGAGACATATTGTGGCTTTCCTGAGTTTAATTCAAGCTAATCCTGTATACATATTCTTCATGACTGTTTTCTATTATACTAATCTTAAACAGACATAAACCATTTAAGACAAAAATTAGAATTAGGACAACATCATGATAACACTGATCACATCCTACAAATAAAGTATTAACTTGAAGGTGAAGGTCTTATGAAAGTGTTGACATTATCTGTATAATCTCCGCCAATTCCCACTGGGGTCACAACAGTGACAATGAAGTGTTGACGTGGGTTGTGAAAATTGCAGTGGGAGGGGGGCCTTTCATCCCCTCAACAACACTGTGACCCCCAGCTGAGACAATCCTACTCCCTGCAATCCCTGACAGTACAAACACCTGATCCTCCCAATCGCAATCTCCCCCCATCTCTCTTAGTGGCATTGCAAAATAACACTTCAAAGGGACACTGAAGTCACCATCACGATTGTTGTTTCATTAATTTTTACTGAACAAAATCAATTATTTTGCTCAACACAAATATCACAGCAGGATGTTCTGGAACATTTGTTTCATTCTATCTTTGATGGGTACTTCTCATTACAAATTTGCCAAAGGATCTTGATTAACAATCAGTTATTGTCCAAAAGCAAAAATCAATGTGATCCCAACAGTCACACATTGAAGACTCCACAGATAATCATCAACACTGTTTCATATTACATGCATAACAGTTTTGTCAGGTTTGTTGCACAGTTGTGAGTGAGTATGGTTTTACGCCACTTTTAGCAATATTCCAGCAATATCATGGCGGGGACACCAGAAATGGGCTTCACACATTGTACCCATGTGGGGAATTGAACCTCGGTCTTCGGCGAGACGAGCGAGCGCTTTAACCACGGGGCTACCCCACCGCCCCTGTTGTACAGTAGCTTGTTTTGTTTAATTACCATTTAACAGTTAACACATATCACATATATGCAGTATATAACTGTGTTGAATTCTGAATAATCTTTGTCTTCTCACTCAGAAAAATTAAAATAGCTGTCTATTCCTCAGAGAAAAAAAAATCAGCAAGAACCTTATTCAGTTGTCTTGGTTGTGTAATATCTTACAAAATATCGGCTGCTTCAAAAGGCATTTTAATTTGGTGGATTATATCAATCCCTCTAAGGTAGAGTACCTCAAGTTGAGTACCCATGAAGGTCCAGGTTAGAATGAACCGTCAGTAACCCATGCTTGTCAAGGGAAATTACTTTGCAGAAGAATCTGTTCTGCATATCACCATGATTTTATAATATGTTGGTAATTTTTCAAAACTTTGAGGATGTCAACATAATCACAGGCGTTTGGTTTTTTTTTCAGTATGCCTTGAATCTTTTTCTCCTAAACTTTCATACTGCTCCCTGAAGGGATAAGAGAGTTATGAATAACAAGGCCTTTACTTGTACAGAGACTGCATTAGACAATAACAATACAATCAGCAGCTTCCTGGGTATTCAAACAAAAAAGGCCTTTAGTTGGGTTTATGAAGTGTTCACCTATGAAGATCCAGCTTAGAATTGGTCTTCCGTAACCCATGTTTGTCATAAGAGGCGACTAACAGGATCAGGGTTGCTTACTGGGTTGAAACATGTCATCGCATCCCAATTGCGTAGTTCGATGTTCGTGCTGTTGATCCCTGGATTGTCTGGTCCAGATCAGATTATTTACAGACCGCCGCCATATAGCTGGAATATTGCTGATTGCAGCGTAAAACTAAACTCACTCACCTCGAGTTGAGACCTCTCTTCTGGAGAGAGTGGGGCTGTCTGTGTGAAGCGAGCACGGTTTCCTTTCAGTGAGTGTATGACAATAGTTCCTCTCTTGGTGTACACAGGGTTGGGGCCTGAAACAAAATGCACTTTAACAGTCTACATGGACTTTTTAATGGATATAAACCCTGCTACTCATGATATGAACAATGATGAAGACTAGTCTTGTATGTGCACACATAAGAATTACCTATACAGACCTGCAGTTTAAAGCTCAATATGAACAAGGTTACTAAATGGCAATGTTTCTGTGGCAGTGAATTATTTAGTATCAGTACTAAAAAAGGAGTATTGATGCAGCATGTACAGTATCAGTATCAAATTGTTATCTCTTGACTGAATTCTGTCATTCTTACACTTCCAGCAATATACTTCTACAGTGTTACAAGTCTTTTTTCTATGGTTTGGGCGTGTTGGAAATGGCATATGTTAAAGTTGCAGGAACTTCATAATGTTTCAGGACTGTTGTTTCCAATACAACATTTAAAATGATTTTCAAAGCTTGATTTTTTTCTCCATATCACATACATAATATCATTGCTAATCAATACAAATGTTTCATTTCCACTGAGGTTTCCAAGAAAACGTTTAGCAGTTTCTTTTCCATTAGTTTCCATGCTTGAAATAACTATGAAATGTTTTATTTTAGTGTTATCAACACATCTCAGTGTTTTTATGATATCAGGATTTCTCCTAAACTTTCAGCCTTCCTTTGGTCAATTTGAATGAAACCAAAGGAAAAAAATGGATGACAGATCTTTGTCATGGACCAAAGATGGAGAAAGCACCAAAGAATAAGCTCACATTTTCATAAGCTTAAAATACAAACAGAAATTGATTCTTTCATATACATGATCGCTTTAGTTAAGGTTTTTCAGCACTTAATTTAATCAAGTTACCTCTATCAAATGAGTGTTCCACTGTAAGTGTTCGAGATCCTTCAAATTCATCTTCAAACTGAAATTAGAAAAACATTTAAGAACATATTGCATTTATCTATAATCTAAACAACCAGCTAACACATTGGCAGCTGTACATTCCAAGGTTTGATTATCAGTCCATTATTGTTTATTCACATAAAAATGTAAAGACAAGTAAATTTCAAAGAAAATAGTTTTCAATTATGTGGAATTGTGATCTGATAACAGATGCAAACCACATTCATACTTATCACATGACTACACGTCTTCACATCATTATCAAAACAACTACGTAAAACATTTTGCAATATATTCAGTTCTTTGATTGGCATTCCAGAAGTTGGGTAGATGAAAAATGAGGACTATTTTTATGGATATACAACTTCTGTATTCTATATAGGCTGATGTTTAGACATAGATTCTAATGTTGTTTAGGGTTGGGTGATAATACTGGTTAACCGGTATATAGCAGTTCGAACTTCATATAACACGATATATTGCGGTACACTTTTCGTGAACCGGTTCACCCGATACGATCGGCAATTTCTGTGACCACGATCGGTAAGTTTCGTGATGTAGTTGAAAATAATTGATAAGATTTGCATTTCCTTTATATCATTATGCATTAATAGTTTTGAGAATGTATATTGGTCAATCACATCTGTGTGCTGACAGTGGCCAGTGGCATTGTTTCAAATGAAAGGAAGACAGTAATATCATTACCTTAGTTAACCCATCTAACACCACAGGCCGGAATACCGACAAGACGTCACAAGTCCCCAGTAAAGCGATCAAAATGGTATATAATTTTAGGAACCTACCTAACATATGATTTACTTTATTAAATCTATCACTTTTCACATGTCTGAAAATACTTATTACATTTCAAATGAACATATATTATCGACAGAATTAGAATTATACACTATTTTTGCAATGTTATTGAAAACAAAAACGATTCGGCAACGGGTCCACATCAAAGTTGTCAAAGAGCAAAGTAACGATGTTTTGAGGAAATAATTAAACAAATTGAATAAACTAAAGAATAAAATCAAGAACAGTACTCATAAAAGTTGCCAAACATACATCATAAGTTACTATTTTCCATTTTTTTTGAGTGTGATCATGAAATGTAAGCCAAATAACATTTCAGAAAAGCCAGCCTCTTAACTTCACGCGCTTGCATCAATCGATGTTTGATGCTAAAATATGTGCTTGAAGCATTTTTGTCACAGGTCATAACCAATACGACAACTAAGTTCCATAAGGTGGTGATTTTGTGAGTAACCCGTTCAGAATAGGATGATTTTGCCCAAAACTTTCATCTAAATCTTTCGTCTAAGTTTTCGTTTACAAGGACGGGTGTCCATTGCTGTAATAATATTGGTTGCCTTAGCTCACGCGGCATGATTTTGACCAATCACGCAGCCTTATAGCAGACATTAAGTAACTAATTTCGTGTCATCCCGGCAAGCCGGATGGCAACTCGTACCTCTCTCACGGCCCTGTTCACGACTAGTCTAGGAATAAGAAAAACAAGATTTATGGATGTCAACTTCTTTATTGTGAACAACACTCCGAAACGTCGTGTTATCTTGCTTTTCTTATGCATTCCACTTATAAATACCGTTCAAAGATTTAGTCTGGGAATATTTCCAAAGATAGATAACTCAGAATTTCCAAACATGGCCACTCCTTGAAAGGCATGTTCAGTAAGTTTCTTATGTCGTTAACAAATATAAGTAAAAAGATAATTTTAGTATCCTGGAACTAATAATGAAAATCGATAATCGCAAAGAAACTATTTGACTCCATTCATTACTACTCGCCTCTTTCCGTGACCTACGCTATTCGGCTTGTCACGAATAACAGGAATTGGTCACTTAATGTATTTGACTCATTTCACATTTTACTACACGCTGATTGCCACGATTTTTGGCAGTAACTATATTCTATATATATAGGTAACGAAGTCTTCTTATCCAGTTATCGGGAAATAGCCGTCCATACATATTATTTCAGATACCTTTTATAATAGATTTCAGTAAAATGGTAAATATAGAAGAAAAAGGTAAGGGATATTATGACATATCACAATTGGAAAAAATCGCTGCATTTTGGCTTCCTTCGTGGTTTATCTAGACATTATAATGTGTAAACTTACATTTCATTAAAACTTAACTTAAATTGTTGTACTTGTTAACTTCAAATAGTGAGTGAGTGAGTTATTATTTAACGCCACATCGGGCAATACTTTCAAATAGTGCATGACATGTAGCAGTAAAAATGTTTTACAAGCTGATATTTTCCTTGATAAACATAGGCCTCATCTATGACCTCAGAGTCTCTGGGAACTCGGTGTCATGGCAGTAAAAGCCTCTGGTTGACTGGTGTTGAAAGAGCTAAACCATGTGTCACACTTTCACAATATATTGCAATACGTATTGCAATACGCCAACACATATACGTATAATATCGCAATAATCTGAACATTTTGGCTTATACTCAACCCTAATGTTGTTGTCAAGTAAGTGGTGTCTACTTATATAGAATAAAGAAGTTGTATATCCATAAAAATAGTCCTCATTCTTCATATATTCAGTTGTTGCTCATTTTAGAAATAGTGCAGCATTTCAGGAACATTGAATTGATGGACAGGTTAGAAGTAAACACTCAGGCCTCAAGGTTCAACTTCAAACATGTTCAACAGTTGCAAAAGCAACCTGAAGTTAACTACAATCAAGTCCTGTTAATCCGACTTTGTCCGCTGCACACCAAAATGTCAGATTAACGAATTCTGAGGACAGATCACGCCCATGGTCGAAAACAGGATAATCATGATTCATATCAGGAAGTCACTGTAAATAATGCTAAAAGCGATAATCAATTCAGAGTTCACGTATTTTATTAGCACATAACATTTATAAATCTCATTTGTAATATCAAACACATGTATAACTTTACTTAATACAACAATTTACTCACATGTGTCACATTCATATTACCGTATATCGCTTCCGTAAACGTGTGGACGGAGCCTATACGATACACTATTTTCCTAACAAAAGCGTTCTTGATGCTTTTCTGACATTCATCCTTGCTTGTGAATTTCTTAAGAGTTTGTTGGATATTTTCAAGTACATCAAGATCTGCCATGCTGAGCGATGTCGCAGCTGATGCTCAACAAAGCTTGCAATTTCGGTCAAATGAGTTTAGACAGTAGAAGCATTTGGAATGGTGGATTCTTCGCTGTCATCAATCTCGTCCTCAATGAGTTCGCTGTTTTCAGTCATTCGCACCATGTCGATGATCGATTTATCAGATAATGATTCTTTGCATGGCAGATCGCTGTCTGCATTGATGAAATCTTCAGTTGACATGTTTGGTCCATACACTTTATTCACAACTGTTAAAATTTCGGCAATCGTCTCCTCTGCATCGATGACAAGATCAGTCTCATCATAATTGAAAATGTCACAAGGATTGAAATCGGCGAAAGGACTTCCTGAAGAGATTTCCCGCCTTCACTTACAGTTTCTAATGACACAGAAGCAGATTCACCATGACCTCTGTGATTTCTTATCCCATGCCTCTGTTTAAAATGATTCAGGCAACCAGTACTGTATGCAAAATTGACCACACCTAACCGATCGCCCAACACTTTGGCGTGTGTTTTCATCAGTTTATCATTCAGCATCCCATTTCTTGATCTTACATCCGCAAACCATAGAAACATAGCATTCACCAGCTCCTCTTGTTTTGGTTTTCTGTTTCTTGATGTGGACGTGTCGTTTGATGGAACAGCCAACCTTTTTGTTGCATCTTTCAGGATATCCGATACCATTGATCTGCCGATCTTCAACCCGAAACTTCTCAACTGCACAAGTGATAATTTCACTTTGTGTCACTTTAGGTTTACTTTGCTTGAAGAGGCAAATGTCCTTCTTGATCTGTGGCTTTCACTCTACTCTCACACGCTTACATTTTGCCGACTGTGTAAGGCAAGTCATTCTCATTATTTTTATACTTAACCTTGTAAATTGTGTAACTCACTTTCATTATCTTGAGTGACTGCGTGTCCAGTGTATTCATGGCTAATTGATCATTAACGCACTGCTCACCTCAATTGTGGGATTAATGGGACTAATTACTGTGTGACTTCGCTACAGTCAGTTGTTAATAGGGTCTGTCGGAGTCGGAACACGGGACTGCCGGATTGAGACTAAAATAGCTTTGATTCAATTTGTTACCAACAAAGCGTTGGAAAAAGCTGATCGTCGGATAAGCGGAGGTCTGGATTAACAACACTTGACTATATTGTTGCTCCAAATTTCAGAGGATGCCAATGGCTGTGTCAAAAAATATCATGCATTGACTGAATTTTTATTTTTCACATTAGTAGACTCAAAGATAAATACCTTAAAAGACACTTTTCTGAATTTTAATCAGCACTGGAGGAACAAACTTAATCTTGCCTGTGTGAAGCTAAAGCTTGGCTGATGAGTTTATCTAATGAGTCAGCCATCACTCTTCTACGGGACCATGAGTGCCATCACAGTTGATAAGTAAATGAGCAACAAGCCATAAGCATCTGCTTGTTTAATTTCTTCCATGAAAATTGTCGCCATTTTCTCCATGGAAACTACCGAAGTTTATTCTCACTACATTGTATTTGTAAAGAGATGTTGATGTATATTCTACCTCACAACTAACCCAAAGGATCATAAAGTGGTTTATCATTTCTAAGATTTTGAAGGGTTGTTTGATCAGAATGGGGGTCAAAGGGATAAAGATAGATATAGAGTTGAGTGTATCCTATCTCAATCTAACACTTCCAAATCCCTAAGGAGAAAAGATGCACACAAGGAACTTCTATTGGGTTGTTGTGGATATTTGTTAATGTAAGATGCATAAATCATGTGATATACAAACAGCCACATCCGTCAGGGCTTTAAAAGTTCCTTGAGCACTGTGATGATTATATGTTGTACATTTTATGATTATATTGCAAGTGTCAATGTTTATCTGTCAAAACGAGTGTTATACCAGCAAACACACAAGTGGTTGTAGTGGAAGCATGGGTGGAAGTATAGAATGGGTTATATTTCTCAATATATAGGTCTTGTAAAGTACAGAATATCACAATATGCACACATGTTCCACGGGAGCGAAATCCGAAGGTCTACCAGCGTCACAAGTAGTTTTTTCTTCTCAGCGAATATCACTCTGTTGTGATACATTCATCTGTGTGGAATTTGAACCGTGTGAGAGTTTATAAGAAATACATTCAAACGTACCGCAAAAAAATACAGCTGGCGTTTGTTCAGAGCAGTACTGCCCAAACACTAATCCAAACCGTCCTTGAAACTATATGGGGCCGCCATCTTGAGAATTATCAGGAATTGTGGGATGGACTAATTGCCCTTTGGACCAATAAGATCATCTAAATACAAACCCCTCCCACACTCTAGCCAATACGCTTGCCTCGTAACTTAATAGCATCGCACACTTATTTGTAAAATGGCGGTGAGATGAGAGAGTCATTCTCTAGACTGTTTGCAGTACTAATCTAAATAATTGAGCGACCTTATCTCCTGCTTATGGATCTGGATGACTGCGTGACTTTAATGGACATGACAAAGGTGAATTTAACTCATGACGACATTGTCGTCTACTCGATCCTTTACTCTGAGCTGTCACGGTGGGTGTTTTACCTGTGGCAGTTCCTTCTCTGAAAGTCTTGCCTGACGAATTCCGGAGTTCGGATTCAGATCGTTTCTGAGTTTTAGTAGTTTTTGTTTTTAGGGAGAACCTTTATGTCAGTTTTCTTATTAAAGAAGGTAGAATTGTAGTTACATTTGCTGCAGGATGCCTGTTTTGTTTACTCAGATTCTACCCACAAAGTCTATCTCCCCGTCAGCAACAAGGTATTATTTTGTCTGGAGTAAGCCAAGTTAACTGCATTTGGTGAGAAATTTTTTTTTTCGTCAACATGTGGTATATTGGCCTTGAAACGCATGAAATTCCATGGGCTTTCAAAAATGAGATCATGTGACTGCCTAATTGATGTGATAGATGCCTTTGCGAGTCCAGCCCATTAATGTCATCTCAATATTTTAGGTTAAGAGTAACTATCCTTAGGACCCTCATAGCGGTAGTTAAAGGTTAACCATCATCAGGATTATGAACAGCTACTGACATTTAGCATTTATATTTGGCATATACTGACATATGGTTATATATATTTTCAGTTGACTGATGTTTAATCTTCATTTCTAATAAATAATGTGATCCATGATACTTACTTCATTTAATACAATTGCGGCAATTCCGATAGTCGTTTGACCGAATTATGAAGCAACCTCTCTATTATCGGTATTGCTATTTTCTTGGCACTTGCTTGGTACCCGAAGATAGCATTCAGCGTTGGCAATGTTGGCAAAACCATTGCCAGCGTTAGATAACGTCGAATGCTATCTGGGTACGAAGCGAAAGATATGTTTGCTAATGAAAGCGTTTACTCAGCCAAGTAACAAATCTAAATGGATTTGATCATTTAAAAATATTTAGAATTTCATTCACATTAGTAATATCATTCATGTATTTAAACAAGACATCTAAACTTCTATTCATTTGGATACAAGGGTAGCAATAATGTTACAAAATATTGTTTTCCGCCTTAAAGCAGGTACAAGTTAACTGCCGTGTGTAAAAGTTTAATAAATGAATTAGTTAAATCTGTATAAAATTTTAAACATGAGGGAAGGCTTATCTAATGTTGAGTGATAACAATCAATGACAGCTTGTTTCTTTAGCATGTTTAGGGAGCCAAAATTCATTTTGTACTGCAACACACCCTGATCATGGTGATTTCTGTAGGATGTAACCGTCTAGCCATTCTAACATATTTAGATATCAGGCAAATGGTGCATTGATTTATCACACCTTTGGATCCATACATCAACTTGTTTTGATTGATGTGGCTAATTAGTGACTATGTTTCCAGGGACTGCCAGGTGGTTTACTGTTTGCCTCAACTGTTTGGTAGTATAAAATAAATAATTTCAGCAGAGATAACTGAATATTTGAAATACATGTACAGTCTAATAACTCCTCCTTAGTCATGCTTTCAGGAATGGCATTATTCCCCACAACTGGGTACAATGTGGGAAGCCCTTTTCTTGTTCCCTATTTCAACTAATTCGTTCCCTATTTCAGCTAATTACAGGTGTTAATTTTTCAGGTTGTGACAATTAAGGTTTGAAATGCCTTGGTAGAAAAATTGGATAGTATTGGCATCACGTGTGTTTTGCAGGGTGTTGTTTGGGACTGTTATAGCCTGGTTCAGTAAGAGCTCAGAAACAAATCTCCTGAGAGGGTAGGACATTAAAACTTGTGCAGTCATATATCATAAATATGATGGAGTGACCTTTTGAAGATTATATTTTTACGTTAAGCTTGGCCGTCTGATGGGCATGCTCCAAAGGTGGTCTGCTCTATCGTATCCTATATCAAAATATCCTTCAGATGAATGTGATGAGAAGGAAAAACATTTTTAGGAATAAGTGTTGAAATAGAGCGGATTTTGTTCTCTTCTGTGAGATTACGCTAAAACCAACTATCCTCATTTTAGCTGTTACAGTATCTGTGTCAGGGTTTGTCAGGCTGTAACATGGCTAGATTACTAATAAGGAAGCCCAGCTGCATAAAATGTGAGAGAACTGAATAAAATGCCAATAAACCTTTATATTTTCATCTGAGGTGAAGATAAGTAAAGCACATTGGTTAGTTTGGGCTATTTAGGCGTTTTTGAGAGCTTTAACTAATTTTGCATGATGACTTTTTGTATAGTGATGAAAAATCTCAAGATGCTCATCACATCAAAGGATGTACCATGTCAAAGACATTAGTGGAATCGGAGGATACTTTTGATACACAATACCATGTACTGTGTCACAGTATTGGAATTACACTTCGATGTGATATTTTACATAAATGCATGTCATTGCTAAACCACGATGCTAATCTTTATACTGATAGCCATCCTAGAATTACTTATTGCCGGTGTGGAGATGATGATAAAGAGTTTCATGTGTTACCATGGTTACAGGGTACTGTATTCTCCAGTTGGATGTCACAAAGGGAGGAAAGGACATTGGGGTTTATATGATTACATCCAGACTCTCAAGTGGGAGGAATTATGTGACACAGTCTTGGATGTGATCAAGCGTCATCAATGCCACAGGAACGTGTCGTTTAATAGGATCTTAGGCTCGAGATAACCATTTAAATGGGGACTTGATTTACAGAGATCAATTTTAGATAATATGTCATGGCTAGTCGAGATAGATTATTATTTTTTTAATTTTATGTTATTTCTTTTTGTTTGGTTCTTCTTACTACATGAAATTTAAGATTATCTTAACCTAAGGGCTTTTTTATTGAATTTAGCAATAGCATTGAAGAATGTCACATGAAAAGTTGAAAATGTAGCCTTAGAATACCTTAGTTCATTATCACATATCTTTTCTAACACAATAGTAGAAATGCAACAGGATATGGAAGCAGTGTTTTGCTGAAATATGTCTAACCCTACTGAAAAAAAGAAGCTTATTGTGTTTGTTCCGCTGAAGGTTGTGTTCCAGGTCTCTGGGGAATTGTAGTGCAACTAATGCAAGGGTGTAGGAGTGCTTCTCCCTAGGCGAGATGACCTCAGAAAACTTACCTCTGGCATTGAGTGGATGTCAATTTGTTTGGTGCTGTCCAGGTTACCAAAATCTGTTCTTTCCCTAGCCAGGCAAGAATGATATTATCAATGTTTCAAACTTTACTGGGTTTTGTAATTTTACCTCCATTATTCAGCTAGTATTTATCTTCATGAAACTAGCAATCTACAACAAACCCAGCTAATTTGAATCCCTTGTCTAGTGAAGTTGCTATATGGTTTATTCAGCATGATGAGATAAGTAAACTCCCATTCGAGAGAGGTATTTTTATTATCATATTTTCTCCAGGATTTCCATGTAAGCTTGTGTGTATTGTAAAAGTTTTTTTAGATAGTTTCAAGGGTTTCATATTTTTATATTTAAAAGGTAATATGCTTATTTTGATAGTTACAGTAAATGAGATCAAGGTCAGCAGAGTGACATGACATATAAACTACTTTTCAGATTTTGTTCATATTTTAATATGAGTCAGCACACAGTTGTTTAACATTAAAATAAAGCCTGGGCACTGAAATTTCAAATGCAGCCATTCTGGTTACAGTGCTCCCTGGCGGCACTTTCACCTTTTGATGATCCCTACATCTGGCTGCTACAGGTGCCCAGCTAGTAACAGCTGTTACAATGAGAACTTGCACTGTGGTGCACCTGCACTAAATCATATTGTATAAACATGGCTATAGCATCTGTTTGAATTCAGAAACTGGAATATGTTTGTGTCATGCTATTTCATCTCAGCCTAACTGACTGCTTAGAGTCAAATATTTTACCAGGCTGGAATACCCCATGAAGAATGTTTTAGAATTGGTTTCAGAAACCCATGGATGTATTGTAAAGAGACATGCTGGTCCAGTCTCAATTTATTTTACAGGTTTGGCTTCAATATAACTGGAATGTTGATGAATGCTGCATTAGAAGCAACAGACAGACTAGACGATAGTCTGAATGATGATTACTAACCATCAGGGTTCTATGTAGCTAACATTCAACAAACTGCTGAACCAGAAGGCTAGTATGATTTCTACCAATGTCTACCCTGTTGTGAGATTCTTTGTAGCAGTAGGAGTAGCCTGGTGCTGATGGAAGTGGTCTCATGATTGCAAAAGTGTAGAACCCCATTTCTTGTAGTAGTATAGAAGTGATGGTGAGTGCGACCGTGCAAAGGGAAAAATAATGATAAAATAGGGAGAGAAAAACATGGCGATGGTTCCTGGCATTTGTTGTATTTCTATACCTATGTACCCTGTATATCTCTCTAATTAGGAGGGCATCTTAAGCGTGGTTTTGGGGAAGCCCCTGTTTGGAGGTGAAGCGATAGAAACAACACAATCTAGGGAGTGGTCAAACCCCTATCGACATACTGTTTTGTTTTCTGCGGCGAATCCATTTTGTTTTAGGTATACCTGTCCTGGTGTTGGAGTGCGACTATTGGGAGAAGAAGGGGAGGGGACAAAGTGTCTCTATGTACACGCTATTACTTGCCGAATGGACCCCTCTTCTCTTTTTTTTTTCCTTCTTGTATGTTATCATTATTTTTCCTTCTTGTGGTTGTACCACTGTCGTCTCCTATAACTGCTCATTATTTACCACCATGATATTGCCTGGAGATATTGATAAAGTGGTAAACCCAGCTCCATTTCACCTTCTGTGGTAAAATAGGTTCCCTGGTATTCCATAATTGTCATAGAAGTGTCACTACATGGTTGAGAGGATTATTTAAGAGCTAGTTCAGGATCCATATGATCATGGATATAAGCCTGCAATACATTTCAAGTACAGCTAGTAATTGAATGGATCCTGTAACATTCAATTACACACACATTAGCAATAATTTAGTCCCAACCTACACACCAGCAAGGTGTAAATCCTAAAGAAGAAACTCTTACAAATGCCTTTGCTTTTCCCCTTCATTTCTTATTGCTTTATTAAACTCATTTATACAAGTCCCAAACAGTGATGTTATTTACATAGAAATCCTGTGTCTTCCTAAGTCCGGAGACAAAGTCTTGCTAAAATTCTGTTTGGTTTCTATATGCTTAGATTGATAAAATGTCCATGAAACCTCCAATTTCTGCACAATGATAATGCTTCAAGAATGTTATTCCAACTGTTGGTCTCTCAACTAATGGTCTCAAAAGGCTGCTAATAGTTATTAGTAAATAGGGTGTATGTATGTGGAATCAGTGATGATAGTTTCTGCCATCTTACAGTCCCTATGTATTTTTGCTTCCAGATGTAGCATCTCTATGGAAGATGAGCGGTGCACTTACCACAGTATGTCTAAACCACGCACTGGTGATACTCAGAACCTTTATACCGATCAGGGAGATAGGAAGTAGGGGGTCTATCATGGCTATTATAGAACCTACAGGATTTTTCACGGGTTTGTGGATATCATATGTATGTGAGAACATTTTAACAGATTATTTATGTATGGAGGTAGCACTGTTTTCTCTTTCCTGAATCAACAGATTTCTCAGTCTTAACCATGTTATTGTTGATATATATGAAACGTTAGGGTAGTCCTGAGTGGTTAAAGCGTTGACTTCGTCCCTTAGCCGAGGACCAGGGTTCGAATACCCCACTTGCGTTACAATGAATTGAAGCCCATTCTACTGGTGTCCCCGATAGAATATTACTTCGATTGTGCTAAAAGCGGTAGTAAACCAGAAATAATGATCAGTCAGTCAGTTGATACTCTAATTTCTCATTTTGCATAATGACTATAAAGTTAAGTCAGTTATATTTTCAAAAATTTCATGCTTTCTGGATTACAGAATAGAGCTACAATAGAAGATGTCCATCATAATAATATTTTTGAAATTATCCTAAAAATGCAACTCTATAGAATCCAATGTTTGTTTTAAGCTTGGGAGGTTCTCCCAAAGGAATAGCCAATACATCATTTATTTGATGGTCATGGGGGGTTGGGAGTAAAGGCTTACAGGCATACTGGGACAGTATAGTGATGAGACCCTATGGCTGGTGTTATGCTGGATGTACCTAGGGAGATCTAGGGTTTAACACTTGGCCCAGCAACATGTGTGGACCAAATGCATTGGTTTATCAGACTTTTGTGACTTGGTTGATTGAATGTCATTTGCTGACCGAAGCAAGCGAAGATATCTTGCTCGCAATATTAATTGCTGGATTGCCTGGTCCGGGCTGCGATGCTGCTGTCATATGGCTGGAATGTTGCTGGAGTGGAGTGCACTATAATGATAAACAGACAGACAGTCAAACAAAACTGAACCATGTTGCCAGTACAATCCCTACATGGATGGTTGTATCAAGTCTGGGTGGTTAGGTAGCCTAGTGGTTAAAGTGTTTGCTTGTGAGAAGACCGGGTTAGATTCATATAAATTTACAGCGCTGATGAAATACATTTCAAGGTGTATCACCGTGGTGATATTGCTGGAATATGCTAAAGAAAGGCAGTAAAACACTCTCACTCACTCGCTCATAATATGATTCCTAGAATGCATAGGGATTAAATGGAGAGACAGGAAGCAAACATGAGTGCCTCTGCATGTCAAATAAATGGCATTGACAAATAAAAACAACCATTTGTAACATCAACAAATTTGGTGGAAGTCTTTAGAGTTATCAATTTGATTGCTTAACAAAGCCACCTGGAGAACTTCAGTATTTCTCAGGTCTTGGGACTTATTCCACAGTAGCTTCTGACTTTTAATGGCTTTTCTGGCAGGAGTGGAATGGATTTATTTTTTATGCTGGATTATATGACCATAATCAAAGGTTTAAAGCATTCTATATTTTTTGGGTATGTGTTTTTGTTGTTAAATGCATAAACTAATGAGCTATCAGACAGAAGTGGAGAAAACTTATTCCTAGTATAGTCATTGAAGTTTGCAGGCATTTACAATTTTGGGATGGAGTTGCATCCATTTGTTTGCCAATTTCACTAGAACTGTTAACATAATAGTGTTGTGTTTCTCACACTGTTTCCACTTGCCTCCTTAGCTGATGATGTGAAACTGAGATACTGTTCAAATTATGTTGCACCATTAAGCTCATCCAGCTTGCTGCTATTTACTGTGTATCACACACAGAATGGGTTTTAAGGTGGTCATCACTTGTCACACCAAAATCACAGGTTTGATTCAGCATCCTTACCTTTTTCTCTCCAGGTTCCTGTATTTGATGGTATTTAGTGTTGACAATATCTAATCAAGTCAACTTATCTATGTGATTAAATACAATTTACATGTCAAATTTTAGGATAGCATGTTTCTATTTACCCTTAGGTAACATGCAGGAACATGTTATCAAGAGCAGGAGGAGGCGAAGTATGGAATCTCTCAATGAAAAGAACCGATTAGCTTATATGGACAAGATTATCTTTACTCGTATATTCTCATATTCACGAAAAATCAGCTCAATGATACCCAGCCGACCTGACTCCGTCCTTTCGCTGCATCGTAAAAGCGGACTTTTATCAAGCGTCCCGGGAGGCGTTACCCCTGTGGCACTGGTGCTGACATTTTATGTTGAACATATACCTTCCTTCCTGTCTGGTTGGCAGACAAAGTATCCTGGCGATTGGCATAGTCCCTCGGACAATACAGCCGGATGGACTACAGGAATGATATGAATCATACAAGTGCTTTACCTTTTGTTGTGATATGTTTTGTAACATATCAATATTTATTAAAACTGCCATTTTATGGGAAATGTTAGTGATCATGTTTGTTCCCCTTATTAGTAGCAGTCATGTAAAGCAGAGATTTGCAGGGAAAGAAATATATAACTTTAGTTATTGGAAGCTAAAAGATCCAGCATGTTGAGTTATTTTTAAGTTTCATGATGTCTGCTACCAATATATTTTCTGGTATTACTTATTATCTAGGCCTGTGATATTGAAGGCTAGAACCATTATAAGGCTTTGTCTTGTGGGAGCTTTTATTTAAGACCCTTGATTACATATTTCAAGCCTGACAAAGAATTGCTGAGGAACCAGTCAAATATATTCTTTCAGCTTATTAAATTTTTATATAAATCTCTTAAATTATTTGGTAATGGGAGATAGAGTAAGATTGCATAAAGGTGATCTTTCTTTCTTGAAAGGGTGAACTTCAGTCAGAAATAAAATGTATTTTTGTCAATGTTATGTCTTTTATTAATTCTGTCCTTTGATGCTTCATTTGCAGACAAATCGTAGAAGCATTTCTTTTTGCATTTCATGCTGCTGGTAGCAAAGTTTACGTGAAATAAATTGTAGACATGCGAGGAAATACATTTTGAATGGCAAGAGCAACTTCTGCTTGCACACCATTGCTTTGGGAAAATGGTATTCAGACACAAGGGGATAACTCTGTACTTTCGTCAAGTGTTCATGGTTCATCCAGTGTTATAGAAGTTATTGTCAAAAAAGTCATGTATGTGTGTGTGTATTGTCTTGTGTGTGAGTTTGCTTAGAGTGTATATGGACCATAGTTTGGTATTAACTTATTAATAGAAACCAAACTTGACATATTAATTTCATTTTACGTTGTTCAGTGAGCATGAAGTAAGACTTGCTCTTCTGTATTCATAACTGTAATCAAACAAACAATATCATCTCTATTGTACAGACATTATGAGGCTCTGTATATTGTAAAACCACTTAAATGTGAGAAGGCTTGAGTTGTATATATTTTTCAATATTCTAGGTATTTTATTTTTGTTGTCTTAAAACATGTCATGCCAAAAGTGGAGTCATTTTTAAGGTTAGAACCAATTATCATGATTGAATCTGATTAATTTATGACTAGTCCTGCTGCATCCATCCCCTGAATATCCAACCCCTCCTTCCTTATAAATCAAAGTATTCAGTCAAAACCCTTTTAAACAAAAGAAATGGCTTTTGAAGTCAGTTCAGTAGCTTTGATTGATTTTGCCATTCACCAATTGTTTTACATTTTGTTGTCGAAGTGGAATTATTAGAAAATACAAGTTATCATGCACCATGAGATCATTTTAGACCAGACTTTTTTATATGGTAAGCATTTTGAATTATTTGTTGTTTTCAAAACCATGATATGCCAGCAATTGTTCCCTGACTTTGTTTTCAAGGTTTTGCACTACCCCTTACGATTATTTGCTTATATCATTATCATGAGAATCAGCATTATGACACAAGGTCCAGAAGGTGTGCTTACCACAAAAGATGATGTCTAGTTTTATTTTCATGTTGTGTATTGATGATGTTGGAGTCTGGGAAGTGTTATTCAGTTGGGTGTGTCTGTAATGGGAGTACAGAGCAATTGAAACAGGTAAATATATGAGGATTAATATCTGGAAATATATACCTTGAAAGCTTCTTGCTTGGGAATCCTTTTTGCTTGTTGCTTTGATTTTATTTTTATGAAGCATTCTGCACCCAGTATCTGTATACAGTTTTTTATATTTTAAAGATTTCTGAATTTTGATTGCATAGGAAATATATTTTGTGAACGTTGTACAAGTTGTTTCAAGCAGTTGTTTTTTGTTTGTTTCACTTGAAGTTCCCTGCCATTAAACTGAATTAATTATTCAGATACATTTTAATATTTTGAGATTACACATTTTATAATACATTTGTTCACATATAGATCAGCTGTAGATCTGTTTCATGTTTGCTGACTCCAATTGCTTTTGCATACATAAAATCTAATTCACTACTGAAAAAATACCACAGCCCCTGAGTTTGTGTTATGAATGTCTTAGATATATCCATGGTAACAAATGGCATTAAAACAATTGCTGGGAAATGGTAGCCATGATGTGATCAAAGCCCAGTGGGTATAGCTTTCATCTGCTGGCCATACTTTAGGGAGGCCCAGGTTCCATTCCCCA